GGGGTGGAATAATGTACATTACGTTATATATGTGAGGCAGCGTGGTGAAATCAGGAGCTGGTCAAAATAATGGAAGTCAAGAAACTGGGATTTTTCTGCAGGTTTGGGAATTTTTACCGAATTTTTGGCAGCTATTTTCTCGCGAACTTTACCTCTAGAACCAGGCAACCCCCACCTCCTTCCATCGCCAATATCTTGACTTGTATTCAAGATAAATTAAATGTACAGTCCGTGCCGGCTATAAGCACGCCGGCTTAAAGCACATTTCGGACTCAAGCACGCTAAACGGCTCTTACCGAATTTTTGCTATATATAAATTACACACCTTTAAGCACGATAACTTCAGCTTCAAGCACGCTTCATTTACAAGACAGTCAATACTTTTATGATGACCCCTCGAAGTTTGAACACAGCAGTGGAGTGTGTTAAGAGAAACACAGAGAACGCAAGTGATGGAGACACACACTCACACGGGCGGAGAGGAAGGCAGAGAGATGCACACAGTCGCGCACGTGGACATAGGATCTAGTCTAGGGCAAAGTTACTTTAGTTACACACAGACTAAAAAATACAAAGAGAGTCAGGGAGACGAGAAAGGGCGGCTGGCTGCAATTTCACCTTTGACCCTCGTTATCCATTAATCCTGATTGTGTATCACACGCAAGGTGGGATGAAGGCGGTGGTATGAACGTGGCACAGCGGGCAGTGGTACGCACATGCAGTGTGTAGGCCTGGTGTGCTGTATCGTGACTGGCCGTCTGAATTAAGTTTTCATTTCCCATTCGACCACAAAACAAAAACAAACAAGCAAACAAAAACTACCATGGCAGGTAAAAATAACAGCGCACCCTTTTGCGGGACCGCTAAAGGCCTACTTACAAACAAAGAGAAATAGCACGGAAAATGTTCTACCTGAAAATCTCTGGATTATATCTACTTCGCACTCAAGCACGCTTCCGATTTAAGCACGCTTATGCTTTCTCCCGCTGACCGTGCTTAAAGCCGGCATGGACTGTATATGTTTTCATCAAAAGCAGGCAAATGGACAGGCTTTAGGATGACACCAATATAACTCCATATGCCCCAAAATTGATGAGCACCTGATTCCACTGCGTCATGACACATATGTTGTGCAACTGTTATGTAATGTATCGGGCCATACCCATGACGTGTAGAATAATATATATTACACAACACTTGTTGTGGCGTCGGTGGCCTAGTGGTTAGGCTCCCGGACTTGCAAACATAAGGTCGTGGGTTCGAATCCCCTCAGGGACCCAACATTGTGTCCTTGGGAAAGGCACTTTACACAAATTTTCCTCACTTCACCCAGGTGGGAATGGGTACCAGGCTATAGACAGCGAAAGATCTTGTCAGTTTGTTAGTGTTTGAGTGCTTAATCAGCTGCTTGCACTGTATGTTTTCCGGGAAGCTGAGAATGTTTCGGTCTGCCGGGGTAATAATATAGTGTAAAGCGCATAGAGCCTGCTGTTGAGCGGGCATATGCGCTATACAACTGTTATTTATTTATTATTGTTGTAATAGCTACGTAACCTGTCAGGATTTAGACAGTGCCTTCATTTAATCAGTAGAGTAGACACTTTTCGGTTACAGTGTACGAACGAAAGGCCGAAAAATAAAACAAAGAGCCCTTTCACGTATTTGTTTCTTCACTCTCTCTAAATCTGTTTGTACCCACAAACCGAACAATATTACAGGAGGAGGAGATTAGGGGGGTGAATAAAAATAAAATTATCTTTTTTTTTTTTAAAGTACTGGTAGCTGTTTTTACCCCCCATCAACACAATTTAGATCAATTCGGAAGCTGGCTTCTGCTGTCCCTGTCGTTTTAAGCCACAAAAATTCTGAAATTAGGCTAACTGAGCCCAAAAATGGGAAATTATGCAATTCTGTTAATTTAACAAAGAATGACAAAGGAAAATAATCAGAAATTATTCAAAACATGGTCAAATTTTGCTAAATTATGCGGGGTGCATAAACCACGGAGACAGCGACTCTAACTGTCAGGACCAACCCAGGCTGAGGGGTATACAGAAAGATCTAGATACTCTGTAAAATTTGCTTCCCCACTCAAAAATAGAACTCGGGTCTCCGGCGTGCGAAAGTGAAGTGGGTTCATTTCTGCTACATCAAAGATGCTGGTCTACCTGGGAGAAGGAGATTAATAACTCTCTCTCTCTCTCTCTCTCTCTCTCTCTGTCTCTAACA